CAGATCTCATCTAAGTAGAATTGAACAATGTAAGGGTTTAATTATAGCATTTAAGAAGCAGCTGAAAACCTGTATCTAGTGAAATTTCTAAAGCCAAACTTGTACACTAAACTTCCACTGTCACGAATCAATGATATGTGAAAAGAATTATGGTGGTCCTTGACTGACAGCAACGGTAGATATTCCGAGTGTAGATGCAATTCTATGAACAGAATTGTTCCGACTCGTACATCTTCTTGCATTTGGAAGACTAATGATCTTCCTCTCTCAGTACAAGGTACGACTGTGCCAACCTAACCGCATCAACTCTCACACCATTTGGCTGGTATAGCACACTGATATTCCAAGCGAAGCCGTTCATCTGTAAAATCATACTGTTGGGAAAACCAAAACAGAAGTGGGAACTATAACTCCAGGCCTTTTATTGCGAATCTGTGTACCAGGCCCAAATGGACCCTAGATACTACTGTAGTATCATAAAAAATTAAATAGAGAGGGTGTTCTTTTATGTTTTAACTTTCTCAAAAGCCAAAAATACCACAGGACTTTGGCAGCAAGAAAATTCCTGGCTGCATTAAGATAAGTATGGAATATACACATACCGAAGAGAAATTTCTGAAACTTTGTAAGTGGAATTAAACATTTATGGAAAATTGTATTTAAACTTTTAAAATAACACAGCTAAAGCAGCTTGACAATAACTATAATTTACTCTGAGCTATGTATTTAGACAGCACACTATTTCCAATTCTTATCTAAGCAAAAAGCTGTTTGCTTATGGTATGTAATGTAATATTTGCAGCCAGGTATTACATGAAGAACTCCTAAGTGCCTGTTCCCTGGTCTTTCTATTCAAACACTCCTGTTCCAATCCCTCTGATTTACACAGAATATCATGCTATTTGGGGTGTTTCATGCAGTCCTAGCAAAGCCTTATCCATTGCACTCTATAGAAAGACATCCACTAATTTTAAAAGGCATCTGATCCAGCTCTTCAGGAGCAGTCCTTATTCCTGACCTGCAACCATCCCACATTTTCACTGTGGCCCATACCGGCATTTCCCACCAGCAAATTGACGGTACGTTCACTCGTGGTTCCCACATTACTAAGCGAGCATAACATACTGATTTTGATTGTCTTCAATCTTTTCCATACCCTTCACTTCCACTGTCTCTGGAGACATCTTGTGAGGCGTTGCATCGTAAATTGTTCTTTCCTCTCAGCAAGAACGACACTTTGCCACTGACTCCTGCAGCCTCATTGCTCTCCCCAATTAAAATTTCCAAGAGTCTGAGAATCTCTCCTGACCTTTGCTCAGCGTACCCCCTGGAGAGGCCTGACATTATAGTCTGACTATAGATGAGACAGGGATGAATAAGACACTTACTGTTTTACAAAGATTCATTATTGCCTCACTGGGAATATCAAGGTTACAGGTCCACCTAAAGCGCAGATGAGAGGAGTACAACATGCCAGAAGATTACTAGTGCGTAATAAATGAAATGTTGTGTTACTACTTTTCATTATTTCACTTTGGCTTTGGCTACTCCGCGCAGTCTTCACTCCCACCCTTTGTAGCATTTAGCAGGTCACAAGGCATGTTGTCAGCAATATCTTTTTAATTTTTCCACCTAACATTTTCCAAGTACTAGTTCTTGTACTGATGTACTCCACAGTTAGATGCCACAGGGGGCAATCGGGAAAGCCTGGCACTCCATTAAAAAGTAACAGGTACTATAGGATGATGCAGCTTTCCTTTTTCACCTCTTCAATCAGCAATGCATAAAAACTATACACAGTATTTTAAGGGACTAATTTTAACTTCCCTAAATAACAACAGGCTACATTCTTTGGGTGAAAGACGACTGCAAACACATTACTCACTGCGATGATTCACTTTGGATTATGCTCATTTAGAAACCCAGAATGGAAGAGGTGCACAACACTAAAAAAAAAAAAAGTATCTGAAGTTTATCCGTAGTATCCACGAGACAGTTATCAAATTTCAGTGGGAAATACACGTTCTCGTAGCAAAGTTAGATTTGATCTCAGCTATTTTATTAAACCAAAGTCACAACATAATCCTACTGAATATTAGTATTCAACTGATACTGGAAGAGTAAAACTAGAACAACTGCAACTAGTCAGTCACGCTTGCCTCTACTCAGAGGAAATCCAGACTGCAAAAGCGCTGGGGGTAAAACACTAATTAGCAATGCCAGAGTTATCATCCTAACAATTTAGGACAACAGATCCTGCACATTAACATCTCAACACTACACTGAAAGAACTGTATTAATGGCCTAGAAAACAGTAGAAGAACACAGTTCAGTCTACAGGTGCATTAAGACTGGGAAAATGCCAATTGCTGTCCCTCCTTACCAACAGTAAACATCATAGTCTCAAGAAATACATTTCAGAAGCAAGTTCCTCTTCAAACACCTCAATGCAGATACCAGAAATTCCCAGCACAAGTTTGTTAAAATTAAGTGAAAAAGACTAGGTAGTGAGAACGGCACCACACAGCAAAACTAGCTGAGTATCTTGTAATTTTTAATGTATTTTTATCCTCCTATTAAAAGGCATCTCCTTTTAATACACGGAGGGATGCAGCCATCATAGATGCAGCGACTTGTCCAAGATCACACAGGAACTAAACCAATCTGAGATGCTTCTCTCCTCTCCACTCTTTATAGGGAGCGCCTCCCAGCCATATTTTTCAAATTCCAGTTCAGGAACGTGGAATACAGCTCAGGCAGGAACAAAACCTTCCTGTGTTACGTTGTCGAGACCCAAGGCAAAGAGTCAGTGACTTCTCGGGGTTACCTGGAAGACGAGCATGCGGCCGCCCATGCAGAAATGGCTTTCTTCAACACAATTTTACCAAAGTGCGAATCAAGCCTCCGCTACAACATCACCTGGTACGTCTCCTCCAGTCCCTGCGTGACCTGTGCTGATCGGATAACTGAGACCCTAAAGAAGAACAAGAACCTGCGTCTGACTATCATGGTAGGGCGCCTCTTCATGTGGGAAGAGCCAGAAATGCAGGCTGCCCTGAAAAAAATGAAGTCAGCTGGCTGCAAGCTGAGGATTATGAAGCCTCAAGACTTTGAGTATGTCTGGCAGAACTTTGTGGAACAGGAGGAAGGAGAGGAAGCAAAGGCTTTCGCGCCATGGGAGGACATTCAAGAGAACTTCCAGTATTATGAGGAGAAGTTGGCTGAGATTTTGCACTGAAGCTCACGTGAGTGAGGATTTCCACTTGGTCACCCAGCTCCTCCTATTAGTATTACAGACTCCTCTTTTTTCTTCAGGTTGTTAAAGGCGAAACCCAGAGCCAATTTCAGTTCCTGTTACTCTCGTATGTACCTGGCTGGGTTTGCCTGTACCTGAATATTGAAAATAATCCTAGGCAGTAACTTACCCCTTCAAGGGTAGCAACACTACAGTGGGCTCCTCCACAGCAGACACGTAAGGGATGTGGAGTTGGTTTTTTTTTTTTTTGTCCTCAGAGTAAACACCTCCAGGAATAAATAATAAAAAGGTACTAGGGTCACTAGGTGCAACAAGAATACCTCATTGTTCCCCACATGCACAATATTCAGGACACATGTGGAAACAGTGAGAGGAATGTAGAGAAAAGGGGACTTCCCCCACCCCCCAAAGCCTAGCCTTCTAGAAAAAAAAAAAAACACCACTAAAGGAAATCACAGTTATCATTGCAGAATTCCTTTTTTTTTTTTTAAGGGATACTAAAGCGTCACCTATTTAAGCCATAAAACATGAAAGCATTTGAAGCTTCTAACATACCTCTTTCTCCTTTCCCAGGACCAATTCAGAAAAGACCTATGAAGAGATGCAACAGACTTGGACATCTGGGACACTTCTGCTTTCCAAAGCTTTGATTCCAGCAGGATGGAGTACCAACTTCTGGAAGACTAGGCCCTGATGGACTACAAATACATATACAACAGAGATCTTTGGTGTTTGGGATTTTTTGGTTTATTTTGTTCCTCCCCCCCTGCCCCAAACAAATCCATGCTGCCTCTGCTGATAGGAAAAAAGGCAGCAACATACTGTGTGGTTAAAGCCTTGAATGAAATGGATTGCAGTGGACCTGCAGGAAAGACTGCAGGCCTCACATACTGGGACTACTTTACAAGAAAAGATCTTAGAACAAAGCTGCCGATTAGATAAATGCGTTTAGAAAGTACATACTTCATAAATATTAAAAAGAAAGGGATTTAAGATGAAAAAAGGGTTTTCTTCCTCTGTCCTCCTCAATAATCAGAGCTATTATTATAATGGAGCCCTAAGTACTTGATTTCAAATACATCGAATACTTTCTCCCCTTGTTCAATGTTTGTGATATAAAACTGGGAAAAGCAAAGTGAAATAAAATTGGAAGTCACTGCAAAAGCTATAGCACTGTTTATTCCTTCTTCTCTATTTGCAAGAAGTCCTAAATTTAATCTGACAAGTGAGACATCCTGGGACGGCCACGTATGAAATATTTCGTAGCTGAAGTGCAGCATGATGAGAAGGGAGAATTACTATATGCCAAAAAAAATTCAAAAGCACATACAAGTGTGGAATACAGAGAGAGAATATGGGCGTTATCACTTTCTGTGTAAAGCAAGACACAGACCACACAAGGGTCACAGGGACGCTCATCAGCTAAGAAACTGAGTCAGATAAGGTTTGTTCTTCCCATCAGTTCTTCATGTTGGTTTCTCCTGCACCGTCACAAGCTGGAATGGTGCTAGACACACACACAGAATGCTGACCGCACCTGTCTCGTACCTCAGTCAACTGCGCTAGATTCTGGCATAAATTTTCAAGACAGAAAAAACAAGCAGCAATGAGAACACCCTTGTGGAGCCACTGTGGATTTCATCTCTTTGCCACTAGATTTAAAAAACAAACATAAATAAGCATAAAGACTAAATCAATGAGCAGTCTCGATGTCCACTCTTGATCGGCTTAATACTCCAAGTTCCCATTTGTCTTACTGAGTTTATTTTTCTTTCAGTTGTGTATTCAGCTACAGCAATTATCCACCAAAAACAAGTTTACAAAGGACGGTCAACAAACAGGGAGAGTAATAATATGAAGCTCTTAAAGACACAAACAGGATTTGCAGATCTGCATCAGCAAAGAAACCGCACAATACAGATTAACCCACAATGCTCAGAACACAAAACACTCCACCCATTCAATTCACAGCGAAAACCCATTTGGAACCCTACGTTATGCTAAAAACTTCTCAACCGTTATGTCCCATCTTTTAGGTTTATTCAACTTATCTGGCATTTTTCTGGGCATTCAGTACAGCAGAAGTCAAAGATTTGTTATTATGGGAGGGTGGGGAAAAACAAACGTGAAGGAAATGCAGAGTATATGACAGTTCTTCAGTACTGGAATCAAACTGTCAAAAATCAAGTGTTTACCAGCGGTCTGATGAACTGTGTTACTGATTTGCTTTTGCTATTGGTGACATCAAACACCAACCTACATATAACAGCTAAACTACAAATGCACTAAAAAAGAAATACGAAAAACAAACCTTAAACTCCATACTATGACTTTTTACAGCCCATCAGTCATTCACATGTGTGGGTTCTCGGAAAACCGAGTTCTGCAAACTATACCAATTATATGCTATAAAATGCACCCACAAGGTGTCTTTACACACCTCCAGCATTCCCCTTCAAAACCCAGCTTTCCTCTAGAATACAGCCACAACACATACAGACATAGGTATGTTTTTCAAAACCACCGTGCTCTGATCTGACAGCAGAGTACTGAAGAGCTATTTATTTAATGTTGACAGCATGATTCTTAGTGAGTACAATCTCGTAACAAAAGATTTTATTTGTGGCCAGAATGTAGAAATTAAATTTTTAGTCCTACAATGAACAGTGTAAGTAAACTGTATGCCAGACATGAACATTGCAAAACTTTAAAAAACAAAAGTGACAGGGCTCCACAGCTCATCATTATCAACCGTAACTACAAACCAACAAATACCTAAGCAACAGACAGCTCCAATTTCACTCTGCACAGGAACTGTCAGCTTTAAGTAGAAGCTCTACTGCAGGCAGGTGCTCCGCGGAGGACCAGTGACATCTGGTGGCTTGCAGGGACAGACCAGGAACTCCCACAGGGTTGCTGCAACACCCCTGCCTTCTTCACAGGCTCCCTGAACACTACATCCCAAACTAGCTGCTCTGGAGTTGTTTTTTTTTGTTGTTGTTGTTAAAAGCCACTGCCAACACAAGAGTGAGCTACGCTCAGACGAAGGATGTGCTCAGCATGCAGTTTCCCCCCTCACCAGTTAACAGGTTTCCACTCCTGAAAGCAAGGGAAATGGGGTTCTCTTTAAACTCTTTTGCTCACAGAGTGTAAACTGTGATCTTTATATCTGTGTCTTCAAACACTTCTCCAAGTATTGCTGAAACTTTATTCCAATCCAGGCGGTCAAGCCCACATCCAATCCTGGAAAATAAGACACCGAAACAGCTGTAATGGCCTCTTTTGGAGCATGCTGTCAACAACTAGCCCTTCAAGCAGCTACAGTTTTATGCAGCACTAACTCAGCTCACCATAAATCAACGTAATGCAGTTAAAATAAGGAAACAACCAAGCCTGTATGTTTTGCTATCATCTAAACACACAGGGAATGCAAATTTCATTTGCACAATTGAACAGAAGAGTTGAATAGAAGTGGATACTTGAACTCTTACTTCACGGTAGAGGATCATCTCTCAAACATCCTTCTATGCAAGAAACACTGAAATATTCACACCACAGTAACTAATTTTCTTACCTAGGCATGGAAATGTCAGTAACTCCATTGTTTAGACAGTGAGCTTTCATAGCTTCTAAACTCTTTCGCATACTCTCATATGTTGGTTTGTGAGAAACTTTCTTCTTCGTAATCTAAGCATAAACGTAAAAGGTCAGTTTTGCCTTTGGCATGATCACTGCAAACTTTTCTTTTTTTCAAAAACACATTCCACTACACTCAAACTCCACACCCAGACTTGCTACTGTGAAGGGAAAAAGAACTATGTTTCACAGCTTAAAATAGTATAGTTTAGCAGCTAGTTCTGTCAATTTGAAGTTTAAATATACATACAGAAGAAAGCTTGGCTCCTCCTCAACTAGCAGTATTTGAGTAATACATCTCACAGCTCTTATTCAGAAGAGCATACTCAAAAAACCCACAACTATTAAAGCCTTCATCATCACATCTAATACAGTTTAATTACAGGGAAGTGCCTGAGTAATGGCCCACTCTTACCAGGTAGTAAATGTATCGGTCCTCTCTTTGGAGAACCGCCACCTCCCCAGTCTTCTTTTCTAAAGTGAAGAAATGAAGAAGGTATTTTTAAAACCGTTACACTCCACTACTTAATCCCCCCGCACCCCAAGTAGCTTGGAATACCCTTACTGCTGGAAATCAAGGTTTTCCCTTCAGCTCCTGCATGTCCACCCCACGTGTATCACTCACGTTGATCCAACAGCTCTTGTACGCCTCCAAACTTTTTCTTAAAAAGAACAGCTATGCCTGCACCCATGCGACAATCCTCGCTGATGCAATGAGCCAATGAGTCCGTCTGGGGGCATGAGAAAAGGTCCCCCTTAACACACTTGATCTGGAAAACACCACAAACAGAAGGGTAAATAAAAATCAGCTGAGTGCAGACTCAGACAAGAGAATACTCAGGTGAGAGGGAATTTGGCAAGCCTGTACAGCAATGAGTGTAAGGCAGCGAGTTTAAGATGCAGTTCACAAGTAAATGAGTTGGCATGAATTATGAACCCAACATACAGGTAACTTTTCTACAAGATCAGTTATGAGTACTACATGCCAGCTGAGCAGTTATTTTTACAAAATCAATGCTTAAAAAGGAAAATTATGTAATAGTACAACTGGATTAGCGCACACCTTCAGCATGTGTGCTGAAGCACATACTGTCAGCATGTCAGTGCTGGATACCCCCAGACATTTAGTTAAGTAGGTAAGCACTGTGCTGTTGAACAGCATCTGCATCACTGACATAAGCACGAAAGCCCAAGAAATTTAGCAATATCAGCCACTTTCCTCCAAAAAGCCACATGGTACAGCCTGCTGCCATGTTATTAGGGGGACAGGAAGGTCTCTTTAGCGACACGCATCACAGCAGTAGCCCAGATAACCCATTTTCTACGCACTCTCTCCTCCTGATCCTTGGAGAAGTGGGTGGCCATGGTAACGTGGGCTATGGTGAAGACTCCTGCAGCTGGAAAGATGACGGAGAGAAAGACAGAGTTATTAAGAATCCCAAACTAGGCAATAAGCTGGTGGACCAGAAGGTGCAAGGCTGAGCCTACTTTATCTATGGGACAGCTGGGACAATCAAGACACCCACTGAAAACAGAAGAGGAGGCGGCCAGTACCCCCAAAAAGTGTGGCACGAGCTTTCCTGCTGCAGCCCCACAGCTCCACCCATGAGGTGCAACTAGGCCTCAATCTAGGGCCACCACCCAACTGGCACCCACGGGCCTTCCATCCTCCTCCAAGTCACCCCCGCCCCTTCAGGAAACCCTTCAGCAGGTCACACCCGCCGACGCGGTGTGAAGAACGATCCGCCGGGCCGGGGCTTGCACCACGAAGAACCTCCCCAGCGCCCCCCACATCGCCCAACCCGGCCCTTCC